TACTGTTCCTGGGGGTAGTTATCTGTCCTGAATTCCATGTGTCGAGAGCTCTTATCTGTACTAGTGTGTGTTCTCTGGTCTAACCAGATGTGTCAGGTAGAACTGGTAGTTCAGAATCATGTGTGACTCATCGGTGCTGTATTGCACCCCGGTTGTATCATCCCTGCTTAGACTACTTTTGCATAAAGACATTAATCTTCATTCTTTGATCACCTGGGGGTACAGTTTATATAAACAGACAGGCTAACTACTGGATTGCATTCCTGTAGTGGTCAGATTTCAGATTTTGCTAGTCACTTTGATTGTATGAAGTTTGTTTTCTGCCCACATCCATGCAGACCTTTGGCTGTGGATGGTTTGTATTATGGGGTTTCTGAGGATTCCCAACTGTCTACTTTTGGTATAAATGTTCTTGGTGGGTTTTTCCGTTTTGCTCTCTAGCTCTTCTGTTTTGTTTTGGTTTTGGAGAGTTTTTGTTCCTCTGTTTTTATATGGAATTTAGAAAATTTAAAAATGTGGTGCTGCTACTCTCTTCAAAGTAAGCCCATAACTTTTATTTGTGTGTTCATGTTTACAATTTGTCTGAATTAGATTTTAAATAGTTGTGTGTGTGTGTGTGTGTGTGTGTGATTTGTACCTTCCTGCTTCATGTCCCTCTTTCTCAAGCTCTCCCACCTCCTCTCTTTTCTCACAGTGTATTTATTAGTTGAAAAAAATCATATTATGTGTCCTCACGAGAAATGTTGACACTTTTGCTGATAGGGTCCGTGTGGTATGGTTTAGCATGGTTTGCCTGCCCTCGGCTTTTCCTGTAAACAGTTATTCCGATCTGGAGACTTGATCCAATTTTGCCTCCACCACAGGTTATGTATAAAAAGCAATACTGGATAGGACAGCTCACGAGAAGAAACAGTACAGAAACATGAGGGCAAACATCTCCATTTGGAAAGCAGAATTTGAAGAACAGATAAAGAAAGTACAACTTTGGTTGCCAAGGGGCGGGGCGTGAATGATCAGGGGTCCAGAGTTTCATTTGTTTTTGTAGTTTTGTCAAATTTTGTTTGCAATCTGTCCTCCGTAGATCTTTGGAAAATATTAGGAAGACCACAGATCATGCTGTAAAGAGAAGACAGAGAGATACGAGTTGCTTTTGGTCCCAGACTCCAAACACCTGCTCGAGAGTCGTCCCACAGCCTGAGTAAAGGGCCAGAGAGGCCGCTGCTAAAGAACATTTGGCCCATGAATGAGCTGTCCGAGATACAGCTGCTCGGGAGAGCGCTAATAGTTAAGGTGCAGGAGAAGCATGTTGCTGGAGAAAGAGACATGAAGCAGAAACATACAAATTACACACAAGATTATTTGGGAATATAGGAAAAAGAAACGTAACCTCTCATCTTCTACTTTTGAAAAGATCGTGTTTTGTATCTCTTTGTTAATTGACCTCATATAGATAGTAAAGCATAAAAATAACTTGTAAATCAATATAATTACATTATTGGAGTGTGCGGATGTCTGGGTTCCTTTGCATGGCATGTAAGGGACCGGCCCCTTACCTGTTTCATTCCCCCATCTCCTGCCTTGTACTTTATATTCTAGCAAGGGTTTGGTTAGGTCTCTCACCAATATGATCTGCTTCACCCTGTCACGTGTTTACTGCGGTTGATTCCTTTGCCTAGATGCCCTTTCTAACCTTTATTTCACTTTTTTTTTTTAATAGCATTGGGGGCTCGTATAGCTCTTATCACAATCCATCCATCCATCCATTGTGTCAAGCACATTTGTACAAATGTTGCCATCATTTTCAAAACATTTTCTTTCTACTTGAGCCTTTGGTATCAGCTCATTTCCCCCCTCCCCCGCCCTTCCTCCCTGATGAGCCCTTGATAATTTATTATTTTTTTTCATGTCTTACAATGACCACTGTCTCCCTTCTCCCACTTTTCTGTTGTCCATCCCCCTGGGAGGGGGTTATATGTCGATCATTGTGATCAGTTCCCCTTTTCTCCTCCGCCTTCCTTTACCCTCCTGGTATAGCTACTCTCATTATTAGTCTTAAGGGGTTTATCTGTCTTGGATACCCTGTGTTTCAAGCTCTTATCTGTACCAGTGTACATGCTCTGGTCTAGGCAGACTTGTAAGGTAGAACTGAGGTCATGTTGGGGGGCAGCATTAAAGAACTAGAGGAACATTGTATTGTTTCATTGGTGCTGTAATGCACCTTGACTGGCTCATCTCTTCCTTGTGACCTTTCTGTAAGGGGATGTCTAGTTGTCTACAGATGGGCTTTGGGTCTCCACTCCGCACTCCTCCTCATTCACATTGATAAAATTTTTTGCATCATTTGACTTTTATTCATCCTTGGACCCCTCCCCAACAATCCTTCCTTCCCCAGGTCCAACTTCCCCAATTCTGAATAATTCTGACCTAGCACTTAACTAATTGTTTTGAAATTATCCATAATTATGTATCTTGTTTTCATTTCTTCCCCATTTCCCAAATCATATTGAAGGAAAGAATTTTGTCTTCATCCTTTTGTATTTCCAACTTCTTACACAGTTTTTGGAATATAGTTGGCACTCAAATATAAGAACAATAACACCCCAGAAAAAAATTAGTAATAACGTTCCCAAAGATAACTTTTGTCTAAGGCATTAATCAAATTTAAAGTAACTGAAGACTTAGATTAAATATCATTAACAATGACATCTGGTTATGAAATTGTATTGGATCCCTCATGTAAACTGACATAGGTGCTGTGGGAAACCAGTTCATGTTTCCAAAGTAGACATAGACTTGCCATTAAACCATAACAACGACGATGAAGCTCCTTGCTATGGAGTCAGGTCTGACCAGTGCCCTGCAGTAGAGGGGAACACTGTCCCCGGGGTTTTCTGAGACTGTAGCTCTTTCCTGGGGGAGAAAGCCTCGCCTGTCTTCTGTAAAGAGGATGGTGGTTTCAAATTACTGACCTTGTGGTTAGCTGTCTAACACATAACCTACCACCCACCGGGGCTTTATGGCCCAACAATTCTACTCCTAGGTATCCACCAAGAAACTTGAAGGCAGGAACTAAAACATATTTATATACCAGTGTTCGTTGCAGCATTATTTGCAGTAGCCAAAGGTATCTACCAGGTGACTGGATAAACAAATGTATTATATACGTACAGTGTAGGGGGGCGTGTTATCAGTGATAAAGAGAAATGTAATTTTGGTACTTCCAGTGATGGGAATGAACCTTAAATATGCAAAGTCAAGTAAGTTAGACAAAGAGGATAAACATTGTACAGTCACACATATAAAATATCTAGAGTAGACAGTACTGTACAGACCAAAGTTTATCAGAGGCTGCTGGGAGGAGGGAATAGGAACTGTTGTTGTGGTGAGTGTAATTGACATTGCTGAATTATATGCTTAAAAATGGTTTAAGAGGCCCAGCAAACTAATGGGCCATGTGAACCTCAGCTTCCATGACCACAAGACCAAAAGAACTCGATGGTGCCTAGTTACTAACTGCTCTGAAAGGGGTCACCTTAGAAGGCGCTAGATAGAGTGAAAGAACCAAGTGAAACAACGGGCAATGAATCTACAAATGCGCCTTACACAATTGATGTGTGTATGGATTGTGATCAGAGTTGTATGAGCCCCTAATGATTTAAAAAAGAAAAGCATAAAAAAGACCAAGCCAAATGGTCAGAGAGAGATTGATGGAGCCCCGGAGACTGTGGCTGTTAATGTCTGAAAATTAAGTCACCCTCTGACTCAGTTTCCAGCCAAACAGATAGGTCTAGAAAGTGAACAATAATAACATTAGGGATGGGAACACACCTCTTAGAATCATCAACCATTTGAGGCCAAAGCAGCATTTGCCCAAGGACTAGGAAGCAAAGGAATGAAACAAGGAACAGGGAGGTACTGATGACATGGGGGGGGCTGCAGTCAATGAGATGAGACAAAAGACATTTACATTGTTGAATGGAAAACTGATTTGCTCTGTAAACTTTTACTCAATTCACAATAAAATGAAAAAAAAATCTTTAATAGTTCAAGTGGCAGGTTCTTGACTGTTTCACCAACAATAAATTTTAAGAGTAGATAAATAGACCTGAGAATCGTGCTATTTTAAAATTGTATGAGAAAAACCGTTATATACATAGACTTTTTTTTTTTAAGTATTGAGTAACGTATCAGTTATATATAGGCAGGGCGTTTGTCTGTTTTGTTCAGTAACTCGTCCTGGTGCTTTGGGCAGTGCCTCACATATAACAGTAAGTAATCAGAAAGTATTTGTTGAATGAATGATTTGTATTGAAAATCACTATTAGGCTTTTAAGACAAAGCAAAAACTTTTCTCAATCGCTAATGAAATTTAAAATACTACCACCTCGGGCAAAGCCCAAATTATTCCCTTGTATTATTTTATGAGTTTTGTAAGGAAGTCTTTAATGAGCATAAATCAAGTAGAATGTGTTTTTTTCTCTTCTAGTAAACGAAGCAAAAAAGGAGATAAAAATGGAAAGGGCTTGAGACATTTTTCAATGAAAGTGTGTGAGAAAGTTCAGCGGAAAGGAACAACATCATATAATGAAGTAGCTGATGAGCTAGTATCAGAGTTCACCAATTCAAATAACCACTTGGCTGCTGATTCGGTAGGTAGATCATGAATTTGAAGTTGATCATGATGAATGATTCAGGAATTTACCTTTAGGTTTTTCTGTGTCTTATATATGAGGAATCAGATGAGTAAGAAAATCCTCAACTTCTTTACTTAGGTTCTTAAACTGTTGTGGACTTTTTAGTTGATTTTATTATGTTTTGGAAATGACTCTTATTATTCATTTAATGGTAAAGATAAACGATTATGTTTTACATAAATGTTTCACAGTAGGAAGTAGAAATACCCTGTCCTACAGGGTTAATATAAGTCATAATCAACTCAGTGGCACACAAGAACTGAAGGGCACATGCTTTTTTAAAACCGTACTTCTTGTGTTTGTCAAATTTCCAGTGACGTAATCTTTTCGTGTTTTTTTTCAATGTTTTAAGTCAATGAGAAAATTAAAATTTTAACTGAAAAAATAATGCATGTACATGTTTATTTCAAAGCTCATATATGCAAAACAGCATTTAGTTAAAAATGTCTCCTCCGCCATAGACCCCAATATGCCTCTCTAAAGGCAGTGATCACTGCTATAAGCTTCTGGAGTATCATTCCAGAACTTACGCATATACAGGATAATTTCTTTTACACACGTTACATTTTTAAAAATTTATTTTTACAAAAATACAATCATGCATTTTATGTATCATTTGTTGTTTTCTTACCAATACGTGTTGAAGATTTTTTTCCCTCTGTATTTTTCATCTTCTTGTGTCCCTGCTTTATTCTGGACACTTTCTTCTCATTTCAATGTAAACTTACACTAATTCTCTATGCCAGTTCTTTGCTATGGCTAAATTGCTGTTAGAGCATTTTGCTAAGTTCTTAATTTTACTTATATTCTATCATTTAAAATTCTAGATTTTCCTCTTCATTTTTTTCAAATGCTTTGCTAAAATTCTCAGCATTTAAAAAATCTTTGAATATAGTAAGCATAGTTCTTTTAAGTTTATGTGTTATTACTCTATTATTTGAATATCCTGAGGTTCTGTTTCTGTTGTCTGTTTCCTCGTTTTTTCAGTCACATTGTCTTAATTCCTTTTGTCTGGAGTTGTATGTGTAGAAATAATTTGAGACTAAGACATGATCATGTCTTTCAAAAAAGATTACTATAGATGGTCAATCCAGTATCAGTGATTGAATTGAATTGATAGGTCTTCAGGCTCACTCTTATTGTAAGGTATAGAAACTTGGGACCCTAGCTCAAAAGTGATATTTCAACTACTATTACAATATTTTCTTTTTTTTAAATTCCTTAATAAAATTTACATTTTATTAAATTTTTGCATTCATTTTAAGAGAGGCAGGTAGGAATGAACACTGGAATCACATGGACCTGGGTTTAAATCTCAGCTCTTTTACTTGCTAGTTGAGCCCTAGTAGTGTAGTAGTCTGCTGTCTTCAAGGTCAGCAGTTCAAGCCTAACCAGCCACTCCAAGGGAGAAAGCTGAGGCTGTCTATTTCTGTAAAGACTTTAGGGAAAAAGCTGAGGCTGTCTATTTCTGTAAAGACTTTTTGTAAGGTCGCTATGCGTTAGAATCAACTCAGGGGCAGCGAGCTTGGTTTTATTGTTTCTGTGACTTTGGATAAATTATTTTGCCTCTCAAGCTTCATCTTTTTATTGTTAAAAGGGATTACTGCTACTGTAATATATAAATTGTGGTGATTAAGTTAGATAATAAGTAGAGATCACCTACTTTGTCATAATTAGCTTCAACAAAATATTATAAACCTTTCTGTGTGACTAATAATTGCACATCAGATCCTCACTTGCAGATGTTCAAAACAGGGTATAAAAACTCAGGACAGAGTTCTTAGAACAGAACCCCATCATAATGGGGAATACTTGTACACACAAACTAGAGTAACAGCGGACCGAGAACACCTCAGTTCTGCCACTGAAAAAGAAGACCGGTAAGCAGAGTCATAGAGCATTGGCATGGTTTTGCCAGCTAGAGCAAGACAGAAGTTGATCAGAGCAGAGGTGTGAGAAACGCTCTATGTTTGGGTTGGGCAGCATTGTTGGAGTGAGGACTGCCGGAGGGTAACGCTAGGTTGATACACAGGGGCTAGTTTGTAAAGTAGATTTGTAAAGGAAGGGAGATTTTTTGTTTTTCATTAAAAGGCAATCTGGTTCTTTGAAGAATTTGATTAGAGACATGACTTTAGTTGTGCACTTTGATCGCAGAGTAGAAATCAGATCAAGACTCTAAGCAAGGCTCTCTGTTAAGGGATGGATGTGTTAGTCCAGGTGAGAGATGAGATTCTTATCCTTCTTTTATCTTTTCTGTTTCTAACTATCCTTTCATATTGTTTATCATTCTTTCTCTCTATTGTATTCTGGCTAATTTCTTTTGGTTCATCATACTGTTCATTTATGGTCTCTCTACTTGTGCCTAATTGGCTGTGTAACACATTCACTGACTCCCCACCCCTAAGTTCTGTTTGGTTCTTTCACAAAGTCTGTCTGGTCCACCTCAGTGTATCTCATTTTTTTCTCATGATTTTCATTCCATCTTTTGTTGTAAAAAATTTAATATGCTCTTTTAGTGTGTATGTTATGTCTTAGTGATTCGATACTGCTAGTTTCTCCTAATGAGTCTTACTTTTTGACTTGTTTATGTTTAGTCTGTAGTCTGGGTTGTGGCCTCGCGTTCTGTGCAGTGAGGAATGAGGGCATATCCCTCAACAGTAGCTTTGCGTTTCTTTCTGCTAGTAGGTGCACACTAGACAACAGGTGCCGTCCTGGGTTAGAACTTGACTTTATATTCTCTCGGTGCACATAACCTCATTACTATTGAACCACTTCCAACTCACAGCAATTCTGCAGGAGAGTAGAACCGGACACATTCCTTTGTAGACAACGTGTATTTGAATTTCTAATTGCTAAAGATATCAATGTTTTATGTACATTGCTAACACTTAATATTTCTCAGTAATTTGAATGTATTTCTCTTATTTTATCATTTTGCCTGTTTGATTTTTGCTTACTTTGATTCAGATATCTTAACCCTTAAAATTTATCACTCAATTAAAAAAAACACATTTTTAGCAGGCTTATGATCAGAAGAATATTAGGCGAAGAGTTTATGATGCTTTAAATGTGCTAATGGCAATGAACATAATTTCAAAGGAAAAAAAAGAAATCAAGTGGATTGGCTTGCCTACCAACTCTGCTCAGGAATGCCAAAACCTAGAGGTGAGTGAGTGAGTGCGCTGTGTATAGATGGCAGTTGGCTTTGCTGTACACCTGAGGCATTTGAATGGACAAAGACAGCCACGCGATACTACCTTTTGTGTATGTGTCAGTTTTTAAGACGAACTGTATAGAATTTTAGAACTGGGCGGGGCGTTAGATGTACAGTCGAACCAGTTCACTTCCTAAGTGATGAAACTATGGGGCTTGAAAGTGAATGACTCTCCTTACAGGTGAGGGTTGCTGTAGGGCAGATCATCAAAACCCGAAAACTAAACCTGGACCTCTTTATTCACAGCGTGGTGTGATAGATTAACACTAATTTAATACGATTATTGTATCACAGCAAAACCATGCACGAATGGATTCTTCACTTGAGTGTTGAAAAATAAAATTGGAAATTGGAAAACAAAGAGCCTGTTCATAGAAGGCAAATGAAAAAATTTAAGAATGTTTCAATCCACTTTTCTTTAGATATTTTTATCAATTAAAAACATTTTGGAATTTGTTATACTAAATTTTCTCTAATTAGAGATTAACATTTTGACACCCATATTTCTCTATTAATCCAAGTTTTTATAAAGAACAGGAGAAGTTTCACATTTTACAGGCTCAGAAGAGTACACGCTCTTTCAGGGAAGCGTGCCAAATTGCACAGAAGCCGCGCCGGGGCCCACAACTGCACACGAGCAATCTTGTGGGACTGCGCGCCCACACGTGGTGAACTGAGGCCAGAGCGTGGCACTGCCCAAGCAGGCGCAGGAGCAGGGTAAAAAAAGACCGGCCCGTCCGCCGCCAGGGTATTTCAAATCTCTGGCTGCGGAGGCGTGGTTGAAGGTATTGGTTGACCCCATTGACTGAATTCAGCCCACCTGGGTCTAGTTTGGGCCGCTCAGGTGTACTGCCCACCAGACTTGAGGGCCTGAATTGGAGCATGCCCAGTTCAGGGGTCTTCATGGGTGGCTAATGCTCGCCTGATTCCTTCCCACCCCGCTCCATAGGGCCCTTGCAGGCATGGGAGGAACAACCCCGCTGTCCCTCTCTGGCTACCTGACATTTCCCCACTCAAGGAGTGTGGACCCACGTGTTTGGGGAACTGGGTGATGACGGCTTTGGCTGCTTCCTGCTGGCAGAGAGGCACGATGTGGGGCTTTGGGGTCCACCCTCTTCCTACTGTATTGAGAGGGTTGCCCACTTAGGGCCCCACGATAGATGAGGTTGGAGTCTCCTGGGGTTGGCACACTTGGCTCAGAGACACTGGTAACCGACGACTAATGGAAGAAACAAAAACGGGACAGTTTAGGTCGGGCAGGGGGAAAGCTGTGCGGCAGCAGTGCCCTGAGAAGGGTGGCTAGTGTCACTGGAGGTTTGGAAAAGAAAGCTGGGGACTGAGGGGCATGGTGGGACAGCATTTACTAGCTGAAAGTCTGGTGTGGACCTGAGGTACAGTTGTCTGTGGAGCACTTATCTGCCCCAGGGTGGCGGTGAAACACCATCTTAAGAGCATCCAGCAGCCCACAGGAGCACTCGTCTGTGAGCTCCGCTTGTGAAGGGGCCGGTTGCAAAGGCTTCCATGGTTTTACCCGTGAATAGTGGACCAGACCCATATTTCTTGAGAATGTTAAAGGGTTTGTTTGTTTGTTTGTTTGTTTGTTTGTTCTTCGATTCATACTATAGATATTTACATAATTCTTTAGAGTGAACATCGTGAAAATCGATCAGACAACCTGTCCTATGATAATTCGATCTCTATTTTCTGTGAAAGTTGAAGTGTTGATATCAATTCGTTCATATTAGAATTTCTTTGCAAACTTTGAAAGTTTTGTCTGTGTATGCAATCTTCTAAACATAAAATATCCTTAAAAGATTAATGAATTAATACTGTTTTGATTTACTTTTTACTGGTTTTCAGAGAATATATTATTGCTTTTATTTTATTCCAACTAAATTCTGAGCATTCCACTCTAACAATTTTGGTGAATCGTGT